ACTCTGAAATGATCATTCAGCCCCAGGTGTTTCTCACCACCACGGAGGTGCTGACATCCCAGTTCAACTCTGTCTGCTTAAAAACTCTGGATCATGTCGCACCTGTTAAAACTAGAAAATCAAAACTCAGAGCAGAACTTTGGCTGAGTGACGTCACAAAGGCCATTAGGCAGCAATGTAGGAGGATGGAGTGCAAGTGGAGGAAAGACAGGCTGCAGGTCTCTTTTCAAATACTTAAAGAGAGTTGGCGCCGTCATCAGAAAGCAGTAAAAGCTGCTAAATCCAAATACTTTTCTGATATCATAACCTCAATCTCTCACAACCCACGCATCCTCTTCTCCACCCTAAATTCTGTTCTCCACCTCACTGAACCATCACCTCTGGAAGCCTCGACTGAGCTGTGCGAGAACTTCTTACATTTCTGTTAGGAAAAAATTGCGACCACCAGGGCTCTCATTTCCCCTCCAACTGATGACCCATCCATCCCACCTCAATCTGTAGCTCCATTTGACCATTTTGAACTTATCACGCTATCTTCTCTAGAGCAGGTCATGTGCAGCTTGAAACCTTCGGGTTCCCCCTTTGATGTGGTCCCCCCTCGACTACTAAAGGAGGTTTTTCCTACTCTAGGTCCGTCCATTCTTGCCATAGTAAACAGTAGTTTATCCACTGGTGTGGTGTCAAAATCCTTTAAACATGCTGCTGTCCAGCCTCTCTTGTAAAAAAAAAAAAAATTCACCCCTCAGTCGTTTCCAACTTCCGGCCTGTCTCCAAACTCCCATTTGTTTCTAAAATACTGGAGAAAACAGGTGAGTCCAAGTTGAAGTGCTTCCTGGAGGATCACGCCATCTTAGAGCTATTCCAATCTGGCTTGAAACCTCTCCACAGCACTAAAACTGCCCTATTGAAGGTTTTTAATGACATCTTCAGATCCACAGATACTGGTGATTCTGTGCTGCTTGTCCTGTTGGACCTCACAGCTGCCTTTGACACCATCGACCATGAGATTCTCATTGCTAGGTTGGAGCAGTGGGTGGGCGTCACAGGATCAGCCCTCAGTTGGTTCAGATCCTACCTCACTGACAGATCCTTTTGTGTCTCCATCATGGATTTTAGTTCTGCAGCGACAAAGCTTAAATGGGGGGCTCCGCAGGGGTCCATTCTGGGTCCCCTCCTATTCTCTCTATACCTGCTGCCACTTGGTGCTATTTTTCGGAAACACAACATACCCTTTCAATTCTATGCCGACGACTGTCAAATTTACTTCCCCCTAAAACGCAATGGTACATGCTCTATTCAACCTCTGCTCGACTGCCTGGCTGACATCAGGGACTGGATGGCTTTAAACTTCTTAAGTTTCAATGAAAAGGAGTCTGAAGTCATGTTGTTCCCTCCCATTGACACGATCACAAACCACTGCATCGACCTTGTAGTGAACTCGGCCTCCGGTCAAGACCTGCCTCTGAAGACCTTCATGGGACAGGAACTGTTATTTCATTGATTTGAATCCAGAAATACAAATTAGCTCATCCAGAGACTTTCTGATTGTATCCTGAACTAATCAATTGAAAGAACACTCTCTTTTTATATTATCATTACTATTTTTACAAATGTCTTGATAATCAAAAGTGTGTTTAGTTCAAATCATTTTTAAATGTTGAAGTGAACCACTCATTTTAAATCAACTGTGAAACAGTATTAATGATTTTTAATCCTCATTCAAAGTAGAAATCAAGTTAAATGTCTGTTACAAAGTAATTATGCATTTTTTGATCTTCCGTCTGAAATGAGAAAGGTGTGATGTCGGTCAAAAGTCGGAGACAGTCGCAAACAAGTTTATTGGAACGAACTGTCATGTTTTTAAACCTCTCAGACAGAAACAAGATAAACTGGCACCTGTGAGTCTGTCATTTCTCCAAAACATTTCTCTGTCTGTTCCTAAACATCTTCGCTGTTTTTCTGACTTGTAGTAACCTCTGACATCACTAAAACCACACCCCTGTTGGTTCTTTCAACCAATCAGGACTTCCCAAAAGGGACCGGAAGCAGAACTCTTTAAAAGTCGACACTTCCTAGTTCCAGTTAGTTCTGGGGGAAGAACAGAAGTTCCGAAGGAGAACAGAAGTTCCATGGAGAACAGAGAGTTCTGCTGAGAAGGAAGACAGTGTGACTTTGCAAGGGTGAAGTCCACGGTGGTCATTTTCTGAAAGATGACACCTGTCTAAGTGTTGATTCCGGTCATTACGCCAAAGACCTATTCAACATCTCAGGAGTTCAGCACGTTTGCTGAAATTCCACTTAACTTAATCCTATCTTTCGGGGAAGTTTATTTTGGAAGCTGGGCCAGTCAGCCTCGTGGTCCCAAGTTGATGAGAAGCGGATAAATCCCTGGAGGTAAAAAGACTCAGCCTTGCTGGCCGCCAGGAGAAGGCCTCTCTGAAACCCCACCAAGGTAAAGAGTCGACGCTCGGGTACCATCTAGCTGAAATCACCGGGAAACGTGCTATCTGGTTTCAAACAAGATAACTCCCCATCTTTTCTTTATTATCTTAGTTAACCCTAAGTATCCACTTTCCCTTCTTAAACTTTACTCCATCTCTATATTTCTCTGCCAGTAAAAGATAAGCTAAAAAGTCTGCAGACATTAATTTAAGATCTAAGGAAATGTCTGTTGTTTTTATTAAGTAAAACATGCCAAGTTTTATTAATCAGAGCCAATCGGAATAATCAAGTGTACAATGTTTTGATGTTAAATTTTGATTCTGTTAATAAATGACCACATTCATTTTGATGGGTCAAAGAAAATTAACGTCTCATGTCACTGATTAGACCATCTCCAGCACAGTACCTCTGTCACATATCTGTCAAGTAGCTCGAAAAAGAGAGAACCCGTTATTAAATATTGATTGTAGTGGAGCTCTTAAGCTAACCTAACCCTACATCACTACAACCTTTCCACTCTATCCCTGTCAGAAAAACAGAGTCACTAATCTGGGAGTGATAATGGACCCTTCCCTGAAACTTAACAATCATGTAAACATGATTGTTAAATCATGTTTCTTCCAACTGAGGCGGCTGTCTAAACTGAAGCCCATATTGTCCAAAAATAACCTGGAAACAGTAATACATGCATTCATTACATCTAGGCTTGATTACTGCAATTCGCTCCTGTTTGGTATCAGTCAGACCTCCATTGCATGACTACAATTGGTCCAGAATGCAGCAGCCCAATTTTTAACCAGTACAGGCAAAAGAGAGCACATTACACCAGTTTTGGCCTCACTGCACTGGTTACCGGTTCACCTTCTAATCCAGTTCAAAATACTCATGTATGTCTACAAATCACTGAACAGTTTCGCCCCCCCATCTCTCTGATCTGCTACAACCATATGTCCCACCACGTTCCCTGAGGTCAGTGGACCAATTGCTCCTCACAGTTCCAGGAACTTGTCTTAAGCGCAGAGGTGACAGGGCCTTCTCTGTAGCAGGACCAAGACTTTGGAACGAGTTACCTCTGCTTTTCAAATCCCGTTTAAAAATTCACTACTACTCAGTAGCTTTCAACACCAGAGGATCTGTGTTTTGAACCTGTTTTGAGCCATTTGTTTTGGACACTCGGGTGAACTGATCACCTCCTGGTAGCGAGTTGGATCAGATGGTGGGGGAAGATGCTGGATAGACCCACTAGACCCAAATGTGTAGTGAGGGTTTGCTGGGACTGTCTGGCAGAAGAACCTGTCAGAAGGCTCTTCGACTCGTACCCCGAGAGAACTTGAAATACAGAAGATAGAACAAACTTGTACGAAGATAGAGAGGGCCGTTGTTACGAGCCATTTGCTCAAACAGATGTATCACGTGTACCACACAAAGCACAAGGTCAAATTAAAATATAGGTTTTATTACAATAAAAAGTTACCGTAGTAGTTCTGAGAGGCAAACAACAAAGCAACACTCAGGCACCCTGCAGTAAGGAGTGAGCAGAGAGGAGTGAGCAGAGAGGAGGGAGGAGAGAGAGCAAGTTCCCTCTCCTCAAGCCCGAGTGTCTGTGGAGAGGTTCAGTTATGGCAATAATGTGTAAACCTTTTCAGAGTTTAAATGTCTATGTCAGAATAAGTCTTTGTTGTTATTAAATGTTTTGAAGTGTTTCATAAATAAAGTAGTCTATGTCTACCGTAGAATTTGTTTTGGGGAGTAGACACTGCTCTTACTTTGAAAGTTTCATCAGGAAGTATTTGTAGTAAAACTGAAGATAGCGAAATCAAAAAGAAAAACTTTGTAAACCTGTGCAACATTGTTTAAATGTCTAAGTCAGAGTGGATCTTTGTTGGTATTAATTGTTTGAAGTGTTTTTATAAATAAAAAGTGGGGAATAGAGGAGTGGTGGCGCAGAGGCTAGAGAAGGTGGGACTGTGATCGGAAGGTCGCCGGTTCAACTCCCCGGACCGACAACATCACAATGTGGCTGGAAAAGGTGAAACAACCACACCTGCCTCCACCCTCATTTGCCCCACTCTGGGGCCCTAAGCAAGGCCCTTAACCCCCATCATCTGCTCCCCAACACAGATATCTCTTGAAAATGAGTTGTTGTGACTTAATGAGACTACCAGTACAAATAAAGGGTTACAAAAAAAGAAAAGGTAATTTTGGGTGGGGTAGACACTGCTGCTCTTATTTTGAAAGTTTCATCAGGAAGTACTTGCAGTTCATTTGAGGTTAGCGAAAACCAAAACAAACAAATAAAGTTTTTTTTTTTAAAGTCTAAATCATTAGTAAAATACTAATTCCAGGGTTTTGGTTTTCAGTTTCAAACAGTATTTATCCCCTCGGTGTCACTTCTTGCCATGTCCGGCCAGCTGAAGTTAATTTGAACTCGGTTTGAAACGCTAGCTTGTGCTAAGCTAACGCGGTTAAACCAGGTCAAACCGTCAGTTAGCTAATGAACGTCGCTGCACGCGCTCGTGCTGAGGTCTCTGCACGCGGCGGTGTCGGCTGATGGGCGGGAAGGAGGAGTCGCTGCTGCGGTACAAACTCCTCTTTCCTCCGCTCCATTTCCTCGTCTCCTCCCGCAGGACCTCCACCTTCTGTCAGCACCGTAAATTACTGTCAAAATGTTCCGGCACCTCGGAGGACCACTCACCCGGGGAGGAGGCAGAGTCTTGCGGTCCGGCTGCTCCGCCGCTGGCCCGGCGGTTCTCCCGGTGTCTGTCCTGCTGCGTCTTCGCAGCTACAGCCAGGCCGTAGACCGGGACGACCCGAACTTTTTCACCATGGTGGAGGGGTTCTTCGACCGCGGAGCAGGGATCGTGGAGGACAAGCTGGCGGAGGACCTGAAGACCAGGGAGAGTCCGGACCAGAAGAGGAAACGGGTCCGGGGGATCCTCCGGCTGATCAAACCGTGTAACCACGTCCTGAGCGTCTGCTTCCCGATCCGGAGAGACTCCGGGGAGTGGGAGGTGATCGAGGGGTACCGGGCCCAGCACAGCCAGCACCGGACCCCCTGCAAGGGAGGTGAGACCCGAACCGAGACCGGATCCATCTATAGATGGAGTGGATTTTATTTAATTAAACCCGAATGCAGTGATTTAAAATGTCATATTTGACTAACTTTAGAACATGTTAAACACGTGTTTAAACTGAAAACTTAACAATTCTCAGAGAAAAACAAGTAATTTATACTCTTGATGGCAGCAACATGCTGTAAAATAACTTGTGTCAATAAAAACTAAACATCTGGTGGAACATTTAGTAACAGGTGAATTATCAGAGACTTTTAGAAGTAAAGATGGGCAGAGGTTCAGCAGTCTGTCTAAAACGAGTGGAACTATTTCAGAATAAAGTTCCTGATTGAAAGATGCCATCATGTAAGCACAGTTCATCCACTGCTTAAAGCTCTGTCAGGCAGAGAAGAAGCCAGATGTGAGCACCATCCAGAACCGCTGCCATCTTCTCTGGACCAGAGCTCATTTCAAATGGACTGAGGTGAAGTCCAGACCTGTTTTGGGGTCGGATGGATCCAAATCCGAAAGCCTGTTTGGAACCACCATCCTTCATATTAAAGTGAAGAGGGACCATCCAACCTGATATCAGCTCAATGTTGAAAAGTCTGCCTCTCTGATGGTATGGGGGTGCATTAGTGCCTTAGGCATTACACATCTGGAAAGACTCCATCAATGCAGAGACGTATCTTCATGTTTTAGAACATCTGCTACCCTCCAGACCACGTCTTCTTCAGTGAAGACCTTCCATTTTTCAGCTAGATGATGTTAAACCACAGACTGAATCCATTACAGCAGCATGAAGAGTCTGACCCGCTGCAAACCAGACCTGTCACCAGTCCAAAACATCTGATGCATGAAAGAAGGTCCGGGACTGTGGAACAGCTAGAACCCTTCATCAGACCTGAGTGGAACCACAGTCCATGGCAGAGGTCTCTGAGGGAGCTGAAGTGGACGAGGTTTGTCCTGAAAAGCTGAAGGCTCTGGACACTGGAGTTGTCATGGTGGACACGTTTCTTCAATGCATGAAAGACAGGGCCAACACCTGTGGAGGGACAGACCGGAGCCGTGGTTCTGGTCTTTAAAAGGAGGACTAAGTTGTGTTCCAGCTATGACGCTTCATCTTTTCCACCCACATTTTGATGTTACGCTCAGCAGGGGGGTTTGAACTGGCAACCTTCCAATCACAGGTTCACTTGTCTAGCCTCTGCACCACCAAACTCCCTCACCATGAATACCAATATAAATACAGATACAAATACTGAGGAGCAAACACACCTACACCCCCATAACATAGGAGGATCTATGGTGGACGTGGTCTCCAGCTACAAGTACTTAGGTGTGCACCTGAATGACAACCTCAGCTGGAGCAACAACACCACCAGCCTGATCAAGAAAGCTCATCAGAGACTCTACTTCCTCAGGCAGCTGAGACGAGCTGGTCTGGGAAGCTCAGTCCTCACCTCCTTCTACAGGTGTGCAGTGGAGAGCATCCTGTGCTCCAGTATCAACATGTGGCATGGAGGCTGCACAGCTGCAGAAAGAAAAGCTTTGCAGAGAGTGGTGAAGGCTGCACAGAAGACTGTTGGATTCAGCCTCCCCACCATCACAGACATCTACACCTCCAGGTGCAGGAAGAGGGCCACCTGCATCATGAAGGACCCCACTCAACCAGCACACACTTTTTGCTCCACTCCCCTCATGCAGGAGGTTGAAGAGCATTAAGTGTAGATAGGCATGCACCAATCCACTTTTTTTCACTTCCGATCCGCTACCGATATCTGTGTTTTTGTAGTGGCCAATACCATTCTGAATAAACAGTGCTGAATTAACAAAAATGGCTAAATCATGTCATATGAACCCGTTTCTGAAACAGGTCCAGATGACATGATTTAGCCATTTTTGTTGTTGTCTACCTGGATGACTGAGCTTACAAACCCGATGCTGAATTAATTTAAAACATTTGTTTTGTTAAACGCAGACATGAATGTACTGAATTACAAATTTATTGAAAACTCTGCACCATAGCAGCACATTCAAACACACCAAGAGCTTCACAAGCTTGGTCAAACATGTAAAAACAACAGAACTTTAATTTGTTCAGTCAGTACGCTATTATGTGACGTCACTCGGAGCACAAAGCATAGAATTAGAGTGAATAGATCTGCCAGTCATGGATCGGTCACATTGTCACCGATTCCCGATCCAGAAGTTTTTCCGATTATTACCAATACCGATATTGGTATCGGATCGGTGTATCTCTTTAAGTGTAGAACCACTAGACTGAGGAACAGCTTCTACCATGAAGCTGTTAGACTCATGACTTGCTAACAAAGATAACTACTGTAAAGAAAAAATAATCACCATAATGCCACTTTAACTGGTGATATGTGACTTATCCATTTTGCTGATTTCTTGCCTTTTAAGTTGCTGTATTCATACCCATCTGCTCACAACAGACTCATGTTTAGGCTGCTGCTTAATATACCATATTATTTTACATTATTAGTGCTTAGCGCTTTTAGCAAACCAGCCACTAGGGAGCACAAGCCAGTGTATCTCTTATGCTGGTCCCCAGCCTGGGTAAATGGTGAGGGTTGTGTCAAGAAGGGCATTATGACATAAAACACTTTTACCAAAACTATAAGGTGAGGTCATCAAAGCGAAACCATGCTGGATCGGTCGAGGCCCAGGTTAATGACTGCCACCAGTGCTGTTGACAAACAATGTGCTGGGGGAAATTGTGCTACTGTTAGTCGAAGACCACGAGGAGGGAAACGTGTCAGGAGACAGAGGGAGAAGAGGAAAGTGAAGAATGTAGGACTGAGGGTGGCCACTCTAAATGTGGGAACAGTGACAGGCAAAGGTAGAGAGCTGGCTGACATGATGCAGAGAAGGAAGGAAGATGTTTTATGTGCCCAAGAGATCAAGTGAAAGGGCAGCAAGGCTTGCAGCATTGGAGCAGGGTTTAACCTGTTTTACCATGGTGTGGATAGAAAGAGAAATGGAGTAGTTGTGGTCCTGAAGGAGGAGTTGGCAAAGAATGTAGCAGAGGTGAAAAGAGTGTCAGATAGGGTGATGTGTCTGAAGGTAGGAGTAGAAGGTTTGATGCTAAACGTCAGCTCCACAGGTTGGATGTGATGTGGAGGAGAAAGATGCATGTTGTAAGGATCTATATGACATGATAGAGTATTCTCAGGGAGGAGAGAGTGGTGATTGGAGCAGACCTGAATGGACATGTTGGTGAAGGAAACAAAGGGGATGAGGAAGTGATGGGTAGGTTTGGTGTCAAGGAAATAAATCAGGAAGGAAAGATGGTGGTGGATTTTGCCAAAAGGATGGAAACAGCTTTAGTCAACACCTATTTCCAAGAGGGAGAAACACAGAGTGACCTATAAGAGTGGAGGAAGGAGTACACAGGTTGACTACAAACCGGATTCCAAAAAAGTTGGGACACTAAACAAATTGTGAATAAAAACTGAATGCAATGATGTGGAGATGGCAATATTTTATTCGTAATCTAACATAGAATCAGAATAAACTTTATTGGCATTGCACCGAAATACAACGCAAATATGTACGTACAGTCGTCCAAAGATGGACGGAGTGCACGAAGCTGCGGCTATAAATAATTAGCGCGGCCTTCTTATTCATATTCAGAATAATATTTTGCTTAGATAAGAAAAGGAAAGAAAACATGAGGAGAGACAGTATAAAAAAAGATCTCTCACACCATGTCCTAGACAGGGCACAATTTGAGGCATCAAAAAAACCTACCACAGATCAAAAGTTTAATCTGAGTAAATGTAACATTTTAAAGGAAAAATATGTTGATTCAAAATTTCACAGTGTCAACAAATCCCCAAAAAGTTGGAACAAGTAGCAATAAGTGGCTGGAAAAAGGAAATTGAGCATATAACGAACAGCTGGAAGACCAATTAACACTAATTAGGTCAATTGACAACATGATTGGGTATAAAAAGAGCTTCTCAGAGTGTCAGTGTCTCTCAGAAGCCAAGATGGTAAGAGGATCACCAATTCCACCATTGTTGCGCAGAAAGATAGTGCAGCAATACCAGAATGGTGTTACCCAGTGTAAAATAGCAAAGACTTTTAAGTTATCATCATCAACCGTGCATAACATCACCAAAAGATTCAGAGAATCTGGAACAATCGCTGTGCGTAAGGGTCAAGGCCGTAAAACTCTACTGGATGCTCGTGATCTCCGGGCCCTTAAACGTCACTGCACCTCAAACAGGAATGCCACTGTCAAGGAAATAACAGAATGGGCTCAGGAATACTTCCAGAAAGCATTGTCAGTGAACACAATCCACCGTGCCATCCGCCGTTGCCAGCTGAAACTCTACAGTGCAAAGAGGAAGCCATTTCTAAGCAAGCTCCACAAGCTCAGACGTTTGCACTGGGCCAGGGGTCATTTAAAATGGAGTGTGGCAAAATGGAAGACTGTTCTGTGGTCAGATGAGTCACGATTTGAAGTTCTTTAAGGAACACCGGGACGTCATGTCATCCGGACCAGAGAGGACAAGGATAGCCCAAGTTGTTATCAACGCTCCGTTCAGAAGCCTGCATCACTGATGGTATGGGGTTGCATGAGCGCTTGTGGCATGGGCAGCTTGCATGTCTGGAAAGGCACCATTAATGCAGAGAACTATGTTCAGGTTCTAGAACAACATATGCTCCCATCTAGACATCATCTCTTTCAGGGAAGACCCTGCATTTTTCAACATGATAATGCCAGACCACATTCTGCAGCAATCACAACATCATGGCTACGTAGAAAGATCCGGGTACTGAAATGGCCAGCCTGCAGTCCAGATCTTTCACCTATAGAGAACATTTGGCGCATCATAAAGAGGAAGGTGCGACAAAGAAGGCCCAAGAAGAAGAACTGACCAGAATTTTCAAGGCATCAAGTTTTCTCAGAAGGCTACATGCATTTACATGCAGAAAATGAAGTCCTGACATGTTTTTAAAGTCATTTGGTGTCCTATA